TTGTGGGACTGAAATTCTCTGCTCTCAGCATGACAAGGCAAAGGTTTGTTCATTCTGATACAAGAGGATGGAATTCCATGCTTCAACATTTCCAGAATATTCCCTTAGAATCAGTTACATGTATGATCAGATGTAAATACATTTCAACATATCACACAAAGAAAAAAAATTTGTATGAGAATTCTCTCCTTACAAAGGTGGGTAGTCAGAACTGTACAATGTTTTCTAGTTGTTCTCTAAGAACAAGGTATTATAAGTAAAATGTAGACGCAAAATGTAAGTTAAATCAAAAGACTCTGGTAACAGATTAATGCAGCACAGCTGGATTGCTCTAAAGTTCACTGGAGTAAAAGGAAATACTTCAGTTTGCATGAACTTTGAAAAAGACTATTAGCTGTTGTGAAAATGAAAAAAATAAATGCAGAAAAAATTCAACTTTATATATTCCTGTTTTTTTCTTTCAACATGAGAACTGTACCCAATCTGTTTCATGAGAAAGAAAAGACTGCTTTCTGAGTATTACTGTATTAGGCATATGCAACCAGTGACAAGTACTGGATTTACAATATTTCTGAGGAGGGTGACACCTTTTACTTAAACATTCAGTGATCAGCACATTTATTTGTGCTGCGGCAACAATGCATTCTGCCTGCAGCAAGCAGAGCTCATGATTCCAAAATCCTACAAGAATGCCCAAACTGTTATGGCAAAGGCAATTTGGCAAGCATGCTCTTAATTATTTCTCAATGCACCAGTTCAATTTTTTTTAAAAGATGACTTATTAACTGAGTCATGGAATGAAACACTTTAACCTAGTTCTTAGACCTTCATTCAGAAATGAAACAGGACTTCCAGCCTTGCTCTAATGAACAGAAGCTGGAACGCTCAGCAAAACAGACTGCAACCTCTTCTCTGAAGCCTGAAAGCCAGTCAGATTTCTCAGAAAAGAGGACGCATTACTTGAAATACCTCAAGCAAAGGAAACAGGGTAGATTTCCTGCTTTCTGAGCACTCTGCTCATCTCCCACTAGAGATGATTTAATCAATCTTTCCCTCAATGAATTTGCCGCAGAGCTTTGACTTAAAAATAAATTAACTGTCAGTATAATGTCAGAAAGCTTGCTACAAATTTCATTTTCTTAATTGTTTGCAGCGTATATAACTTCCTGCACTTCAGAAACAGCAACCTGTGATAAAGGATGGAGAATATAGTAATGCTGAACAAATTCAAAGGAGAGAGATACATCTTGATCTCACTGCTAGCATGTGCACTACAACTGGATTAAAATGGAAGTACCAATACTGAATAATGTCAGTACTGTGAGAATAATTTATAAACGAAGGCTGATGTTTAATTTCTTACCCCATAGGCTTATGTCACCTGCCAGATAAGGTCCTCCAAAGACAAAGCCAACTTCATCTCCACGATCAGCTTTCACATACTCTGGTTTAGTATCCCAGTATAAAGTGGAACGATGCTGATACTCAAAGAAGTAGTAGGCGCTCCAGAATCTAGAAGACGTCACATTTAGAGAGTTGCAGGAGAAGCATGTTAGTGTTACTTTAAATATGTATAATGCTTTACAGGCAACTGGGCACATTTCTGAATGTAACACTACTCCCCAGTACATATTTGTATCTTTAATTAAAAATGAAGAATGCATAGTATTAAGAAGATGAAAAATTCACCTTGGGAATACAGATAGAAAACAAAATCCAGTTATTTCCCAGTTCTGCATATTTTGGTGTGCCTTGCCTATGCTTAGATGTCATAAAGTTTCTACACTGCAGAGCTGCTGACTTCTGAAGCAGTAGTGGGCTAAAAGGGAAATTCCAGGTTCCTTCAATTTTTAAGCTTGTGTAATTCACACAGCAAACGTCTACTTGTGTTATCCTTTTCTTGTCTCAGTGTATTGTAACCATAAGCCCAAGTGCAAAATACAAGTACAAAAGTAAAGACATCATTTGCTTGATGTGGTTCTGTACCCCTGAATCACACTTCATTCTCAAAGTTCCCAGTGGGAATTTCAAGAAGGGTTACCTGCACAACAGGATTTGTTTCTATACCATTTAATTCAGCCTGTAGTGAAGAGTTTGAGTGTCCTGTTTTGAGACTGTTTTAAAGAGAGTGTTCATTGTCTCACCCCAGTAATAACTCAGTGCTTTAATGGATGGTATGACAATAATGAAATCCCCCAGCAATTCCAGAAATCTGTCCTGTAGCACAGCAGGATCATTTGTGTTTTCCAGATATTCATCCATTATTACTGACAACAATTCTGCTGGCAAATTCTAAACAAATTTTTTAAAAAAGGGGGGGGGGGGGGGGCCGCGGAAACATGGAAAAACTATCACTTTCAATTAGCTGCTAAAAATGTCAGGTTTTGAACTTCAGAGATTCTGCAAAGGTAGAAGAGTAAAGGATAGCACCCATACTGATGGAAAAGCATGATGGCAAACAAAACTCACTGACATTTTTTTGTGAAAAGCAAAACAAAACAAACATGTTTCAGATAAAATTTACAACAGAGTTATATGATTTAAAACTCCTTAGGAATCAATTATTTTTCAGAAGTTTGGCATTTCACCCATCCTGACAATGTTTTCTTCATGGCATCTGTTTTCTTCAGGAGAAAAGAGACAGGAATAACAAGTTTGAGTTCTTGAAAGATGCGTAGACTAGTAGGCTACAGGGCAAGACCATCAGGATTTCTAAACACAGCTTAGGTCGTTAGTGTTACAATTCACTGTTTGACAGATACAGTTCAAAACAAAGAGTGCAAAATATTTTCAGTAACTACTTAAAAAGCTATATTTAATTTACTGAAAAAACCTGCCTTGAAACCCAATACGCAGGAGACTGGATATAAAATAGTGTAAGGGCATCATTACAGTAATCCTACATACAAATACATAACACAAAAATGTTGGTTCAGATTTCTTGAAGAAGAAAGGTATTTCCCAGAATGTAGGCCTGACTCAAACCTACTTCTGATTAGCTCCATACACTGCAGCCCTGCCAGCTTTGCCAGCATTCTCCTCAAAATTATCCAGAAAAAAAATTCTCCAGAAAATTAGAGAACACCAAACTTCACAAATCAGGGATATGCACCAAAATGAGGTTTTACTTCTTAGATTAGTGCAGCAATTCTTACCATCATTGGTAGTAGAAACTCTAAAGCTGAAGTGATTGATTTTTTTTATGTCCCACATCTCTCAAAGCTGGTATTGTTGATATCTGCACAGAAAAAAAGATGTTGCTAGAGCCATTTAACTTCTCCAAAGTTTCATATTTTAACAACTTTATTCCACTTTATTACTACTCATATTTATTTCTGAAGCAACCATATCATATGCAAAAATGCAGGAACTGTCTTCAAAAGCTTGTATTTACCACAGCATATGTTTCATTCATGGAAGTTACTACATCAGCCATTCTAACTATGTACTTTATCCTTAAATCAATACGTTGTTAAAAGATTTGCAAGACTGGGGAGCATTAGGGCAGAATTAAGCAACAAGCTTGTTGTGTCTCAAAGGCTTATTTTCCCTCAGGTAGGGGAGATCCTGTTTGGATCACTGGCAGCCCCTCTCCCAGAGACTCACGAATACTACATACATACAGAACAAATGCTTTGCATTACAAAGCCAAGCATGAATACTTATAAAACTAAGAGGACAAGAAAGACAGGACAAATCGATCCCCCACATTTTGCTGCACTGTATAGCAACTGTTCTCTTGAAGTTACCCATAGAATTCACGTGAAAGAGTGCAAGTGGGATACCTGTACTCCACTCAGAAAACAATGGTTTTCTGAGATTTTTAACCAACAAATCTTATTGCATGATAACAACAAATACAGGGGCAGCAACACAAACAGCACTCATTAGAGCTCACAGCATAAGAGGTAAAATGTTTACAGTGATCAGTACAGCATTTTTAAATGTCCAATGTATTGATCCTGAATACTGCACAGGTAACACCTGTGTGTTTGTTGTGGGGGAAAGAATTGTTTTTATTTTTGCAAAGTAATAAGCTCATGACTGCAGCATTATTTTTCACTTTCTCTGCCTGGTTAAGGCATTAAATTTATGGAAAATACTATATAATATTGACAGTTCAGCATGCAGGATGCAACCTGTCTTACTGCTTTGTGACCAACTGGTTCTGGGTCTCTACAAAATCAGAATGAAAACAAAATTTACTTTATATGTATTCCTAACAGTGCATACGTAAAAAGTGTCTGACAAGCAAAGACCTCCCCCACTCTTCTCAGAATCACCTGCAGTATTTAATACCAACATTCCAAAAAATGAAGAACAGATATTAAATTACAGATTTAATATTCCAGCCAAATTCATTATTGGTGACTCCTATCATAAACAGGACCATGTTAAATTCTTTTCCAGCCAACGTATCTTCAGGTGACTTATGAAGAAATACTCCATCCAAAACTAAGGGTAGAAATGGGATTTCCTGAAGGAGTAGAAAAAACATCAAATTACTTGTTAATAGTATTTTCCCTTTTTCCTTCAAGTCACATAATAAAACACCCACATTTAGCATTCCAGGTGCAGGAAAGAGCTTTAGGAAATCAGGGTACCTATGGCCACTGTAACACACAATTAGTTTTTCACAACAGCATGAAATGCTAGCCTGGCTGGGGTACGTTAAGATATAATTCAATGGTTTTCTGATCCTGTACTGTTTACAACTGACATTCAGGTATATTTATGTTTGAGCCTTGCACACAACTTTACAGTTGCTGTGACACTTCACTAAAAAAAGTCTTAACTAAAGAAAATGCCTGTGAGATAATTTGCATATTTGGGTGTACTTTGACAAAAATTCAGAAAAATCAACTTTGGAGCAGGTCAATTATTAACACTGATCAGAAGCTGATCTGAAGTTCTGCAAGCGTGCCATCAAAAAAAATCTGTTACTAAGTAAAGTTTCACTTACTGTACTGTTAAAGACTATCCATTGCTTCCTGGTTCCTCAAGCAGTTTATTAGTGTGAGTGAACTGCTAGTCTCACAGTTAAATATATTTGCAATTTTCAGAAAATTGTTAACAAAGACAAGAACTGTTAGCTATGAGTTAGTCTTTAAGGAATTTATATGCATAAGATCACTGTATGCAGTACTGTTGTTTTACATAAGGCCTAGTTTAGGTGAGCTTGATAGATCTTCAAGTACTTGATTTTACTAGAGATCCTACAGTTAGATCATTAAGAGAAATAATTCTTTTGTACTTCTCTTTAGTGCTATATTTCTGTTCACTGATACACAACCAATCTTGCTATAGAGATAGCATGAAATTGTAACAAAAATCAAGACAAGGAAGTTCAGAGAATCAGGCTGTGAGTTTCAAATTATGACTGCCTACAGCTTCAGGCAGAGAAACAAGAAAGGTGCTTTCATTTCAAGGTGTTTTGTTTGTTCTGTTTTGTTTGCTTTACTTCAAACTAAGAGTCTCCATAAAAGCCCATAGCTGAATAAAAACTGAGTGCTTCTTCTAATTAAATGTCCCGTAACACATTCAACCATTATTATGTAAGTGACAGTGTGCATGAAATTGGACATATGCAGCTAGGCATATGTGTAACTGAAAATACTTAAATCTACCCACAAATATTATAATCTCATAACTGTATAACCTATTTCCAACATCAAATGAACACAGTAAGATTGAAAATACACACACTATTTGAATTAAAATCTTACTTAGTGCTAATCTATTTATCCATACATATGCCTTGAAAAATAACCCTAATCAACTTGTCTGCATGATACGCAATCAGATTTTCCTCTTCTTTTAACCAAATAATCAGATATTAAAAATACTGTTCATTATGGAAGCTTTAAAATGCAAAAATGATCCTACCTTAAGATCTGCTGAAAGAAGTAAATCTTTATTAGAGGGAATTAGAACTCCACTCTCTAATATTGCTTTATGAAAGAGACCCTTAGACAAAGTAGATAAAACCTGCCAAAAAGGGAGGAACAGAAAACATTTATTGTGCATCACGGTCCTTATCTCATAACAACTTGCTCAACTACATTGCTGCAATCAGTGTGGAAATACACTTCTGGGGAAAGTGATCAGACTTACTTAGAACAAAGTACCTTTAACCTTCTTTTCAAAAACTGGATTAAGCATCAAATGTTACAGTAATTGAGTTTACTTCTGAACATTTTAAAAGACATTTTAGTTATCTATTGCATGCTTACCTGTGCAAAAACACAGCAAGATCCCGCAGATACACCAAAGAGTGTGACTGATCCTGGATCCCCACCAAAGTGTTCCATGTTTTCCCTGACCCACTGAAGAGTTTCTTCTTGATCCAAAAATGCCCAGTTCCCACGAGCATGTTCATCACCAGTACTGAAAGAAAAGCAGTATAAGCTAACATCTCAGGAAGAGTAATATTTCTTATACCAGAATAAAATTAACCCTGCCAACTTACAGTTTGTGCAGCTTGGCCAAGGAAAGGTCTTACAACTCAACCACTTAACCACATAAACCACTTATGCTTTAAGCAAAACAAAAAGTATGTAGTAAAAAGTGAAATGGTTCATCTTACTTGAAAAATCCAAGGAGTCCAAGTCTGTACTGAATTATTACTACCACTACAATATTCTTGCAGGTTGAAAGTGCTGAACCATTGCACCTAGAAGCACCACCAAATACAAAATTGCCTCCATGGATCCACACCACGACCATTGAGAAAAAAAGGGTGAGACATACATTACGCATTGGTCGGCAGATTTCATATGAGAAGGGAATACAACAGAGAATTAATAACTTCGAATCACTGAAAGTCAATGGGAGCTTAATTTCATGTTTATGGATTGTGAATTTTGCATAATATTAGTCCTGCTTATGCAAGACAACATTTTCAAAAGCAATTAAGTGGCTTAGGAGTCAGGATTAAAAGCAGACATTGTAGATCACAAGGTTTCACAAGGGGTTTACGTACAGGTAATTTGTTCTTCTTGTCTGCAGGGCTATAACCATTTAGATACAAGCAGTCCTCAGAAGTCCGAAATTGAATGTGTTTTTCTATATAACTTTTTTCAGCTTTTTTCAACATGGTCAAATCTTGAGGACATCTTCACAAAAGAAAGAAAGAAAGCATAATTATTAGTAATAAAACTGAAATATTAGCTATGTACCAATGATAGACAAAACACATTTTCTTTATCAGGCTGAATTTCCACTTGGCACTTGAACTCTCTGTTACTTACAGGAATCCTTATGTTTCCTAATCCCACAGTTCTTATTAAATATCCCACTACCAGTCAATCCAAGTACCTTAATAAAAATCATACACTAACAATCGTACACTAACAAATATGACAGTACTGACAAATATGAGCAAGTACAATACATGCAAGTTAAATGAACAGCTCTCACAGCAGCGGGTAAGAAGTTGCATCTTTCAGATCATTCCAGGGGTCAGGAGGTTCAGGTGGGGAAAACCTCAAAGACCCAACAAGTGCTTTTGCAAAAGGAATCCCAAGGAAAACATTTACAAGTCTGTCTGTTCCCTTCACATTTACTTGTTTTCCTCTGAGCAGTCCACATGCAATAGTCACTTCTGGTTCTGCAGCCTTCTGCCCTAAGTAGCACATAAGCCAGAAGAATTAATCTGCATTTTCATAATTATCAGATTTTTCACTGAGGCTTTCTTAAGGAAACAATTTATTTTGAAGATTTCACCTTGTTCAATTTTGTTCAGTTTTCATTTTACTTATGTGCAATGACACTCCCCTCACCAAAAACTTCCACAGCTGGCTCTGTTTATGACAGTAGGAGCTAGGTAGGGCACAGTTTACACACTCTGCAAGATAATAAATCTTAAAAACAATTTCAGAACAAACGGTAACAGACAAAATCATCAATATCTTCTAAGTTTACCATTCAATAAAACAATATCCTTTTATTAAACAAACCCTTTTATTATTTTCATAAAAACATCTCAAGATGGTTTCATTAAAAATAAAAAGTCACTTGTGCATTAAGCTTATTAGGATTCTTTTGCAGATTGCTAATACAAATAGAAGAGAGGTACTGCTCTTGAAAACTACTACCCTGTAATTTATTAGTGCAGTAGCTTCCCCATCAGCAGTTAAAAAATATATATATCAAAAATCAAAATCAAAGACCTTGCATCTCACCTTCTGTTCCACAAGTGGTGAATGTTAAACTACAAACCAAGATACAAAGCAAAGAAATCTGGGTTTGAGGAGCAATTTTTCTCCTAAGTTGGATTCCAGATTATTTTCTTTTTTTTATGTGGAAGACACTGGTACAAAGGCCTCTGCTGACTGTGCTCTCAGTAGGGAGCACAGCTGAATTCCCTTCTGAAAATGCACTGCATTAAGCACTTTCAGAGCTGTAACTGAAATGGAGAACAAATACAATCTCTTAGTGTAACATACCTGTCATTACCTGATCCTGATGATGGATGATTTGGCCCAGCATCAACTGTGAACAATGAAAGGTCTTATCCTAGTTAATCTGTTTTTACTTCTACAATCCTATACACACCTCAATTTCCATTTAAATATTTACTACTTCATATTTTGAATCTTTTAAGTGCTACAAAGCAGTGAAATTTTAAAGAGTTTCAGAGCTACTGACTAAAATTCCTGTGAACAAACACAACAAAAAGTGTTTGCAGATTACAAATAACTGGGAAGAAAGGAAGAAAGGAAGCTTAGTTATTGCAAAGGTTTAACAAGTGCTAGCATATCTGCACCACAATTAGCATAGTATGTGTGCTTTTCCTCAAGAACTGGCCTCCAACTTCCAAATTAGTTTTTTAACCTTTTTGCATATTTAAAAATAAATGGGATATTAAAGCTGAGGGCCAGATTACAACATCTTTTCTGTGACTGCACAAGGCAACAGAGAAGCCTCAGTGTAGGTTAGAAAGCAAGGCCAACACCTTATGGTACGTGTACTTCCCTCAAAAGACAAGGAAAAGACCATGACCACTCCTTCACTACAAAATAGCTTCCTATGGTGGAAATAAGCTGGCTATCCAAAACTGCCCAGTTTTCCCCTTTTGGCTGAGAAATCTCAAAAAGATCTGTAGTCCATAGGAGCATGACAACACTCAAAGCAAGTAACTGGCCTTAAACAGATAAGCCTCAAGGTCTTCTTCACAGTTGGATCTACAAGTTTAGCCTGCTCCACTAGCTCCCAGTTTTCAGCAGGCAGAACACTACATAATGGATCTGTGTTTCTCCACCTTTGATTCATTTTACATCTCCCAGATGAACAATGTCACCAGAACTGAGTTGCAAAGCATACTGCTCCAGGGTCTGCTGCACTGCTTTCACTTCATTCACCTCCAAAATAGAGATGCTGCAGAGCCATCTTCTCCATAACAGATGGGTAATCATGTAAGTTCACCCTGTCTTGAGATTCGTCATTTGGTTCTTCTTTAGATGCTTTTTTCACTGTAAATAGTTCCTCCTCAAAATACCAAAACAGGAAGTGAGACCTATCAGCTCAAATGAGCTCTAGGCTATCCCACCTTATCAGCCCTCACTCACCTCATCAGCTTGAGTCATCACCTCCTTATCCTTTTTCTCCCTCTTCTCTGTGAACAAAATCAGTATCAGACATATTAGCAAGTAGATAGATTGCTAATTAATTTTTAGTGATCTAAGAAAATAAACATTTTTTCACTTTTATTAGTGCTCTGAATTGAAAGAACTGTTTATCACAGCAACAATACCAACACAAAGCGCACTGAAGCTGCCGTTCCATTCAGAGCCAACCGTTACAAGTCACACACAGAAAAGCTCCTGGTGCACAACCCGCATCCCGCAGCAGCGACAGGGATCAAACGGCTGCCCAGTGCGCGGGCACAGCTGTGCCGGGGCTGCTTACACAAGCGTCTGTCGCGAGTAACACAGGAGTAAAGCTTTTATTTCTGCCGGCTGCCAGCAGGGCGGCTCGGGCGACCGGTGTTTCATTACCCATAACCGTACCTCGAGGCAGCCAGCAAGCTGTCACTCGAGAGATAACAACAAAAACCAATCGTTTCTTTTTTGTGATAACAAATCTTTTTTTGTGTGATAAGTAATCAAATATATGGCTGAGAAGCTGAAGCAAGATACTGCGTGTTTACACAGAAGTCAATGCCTAACTCCTAAGACCAAGGGGTGAATGAAGCTGCGCTGTAAAACATCGCTACAGCCCCGATCGCTCCACTTACTGTAACAACGTGATTTTTTTTTTTTTTACACGCAGTTTGCTTTTTCAAATTAACTCAAAGACGAAAGACATTGCTTTAAGCAAAACATGACCCAACTCTCCCCCACCCTCCCCAGCACCGAACTCCTCGTAGCCCCGCACCACCTCCCCGCACAGCTCCTCCCCCTGCCGAGCTCAGCACCACGCCGACAAGCCAGCCCTCCGCACGGCTGCTCACGGCTTCAGTGCCGTTCCACCGCTCGCCCACGGGGGAGCACTCCGCACCAAAGCTCCCCGCCCGGTCCGGCGGCGAATCGCGTCCGGGCTCCTTCCGCCCCGCCGGCATCGCAGCCATGGTGGGCCCGGGCGGCGGCGTGCCGCTGGAGAACGCCAACCCGCTCATCTACCGCCGCTCGGGGGAGCGGCCCGTGACGGCGCGGGAGGAGGACGACGAGCTGCCCGACTCCATCGACGACCGGGAGATCTTCGATATCCTGCCGGCAGGGCAGGGAGGGAGGGCGGGGGTAGGGCGGGCGGGCGGCCTCCGTCCCGCTTTCCTTAACGCCGCACATCTCATCCGCTCCATTAACGACCCCGAGCATCCTCTGACCCTGGAGGAGCTGAATGTCGTCGAGCAAGTTCGAGTTAAAGTGAGACTATCTTATTTTTGCTGTTGTTGTTGTTGTTTCTCCTCTTTGTTTGTTCATTACTTTTTTTTTTTTTTTTTTTTTTTTTTTTACCGTGAAAAGAAGTGTATTATGTGAATTTACTGCATTTAAACATAGTACTTTAAGCCCTCAGCAAAGAAAACCCGAGCAGTGCTGTGCATGGAACGCTGCAGGCAGGGCACAGCAACAAACCTGTTGGTTTGTTTTCCAACAGGTGAACGATGCCGAGAGCACCGTGGCAGTGGAGTTCACACCCACCATCCCGCACTGCAGCATGGCAACGCTAATCGGCCTGTCCATAAAAGTGAAACTGATCAGATCACTGCCCGAGAGGTTTAAGGTGAGTAGTAAAGTCACTCTGGAAAGCAGAAGAGATGGATGGTGTTCAAAAGCAACTAAAACTTTTTGCTCCACATTATGGAGGAGGGAAACGCTCCAGGCTGAGGAAGGAACTAAACTAGCAGAGCAGAGCTGCAGTTCTGTGCTGGTGGCATCGCAGCTGATTGGGGTTGTGGTGTGAAGGCATGAGGGCACAGAAGGAGATGGCAGTGCTTTAGCCCTCTGCCTGAAGGAGGCTTATGCAGGTGGAAATGTGGTGTTCTTTTGGGCTTGGTTTTATTCTTGCTGGTACAGCATCTGTCCTTGCCAGGAATGTCTTTTGTTGTTGCTTTGTTTTGCTGTTTTCTTAATTAAATACTTTGAGCTTCCAGTGTTTTGTTGACTTGTCTCCTTTTTCTTTCTCCATACTTTTTAAGATGGATGTTCATATAACACCAGGAACACATGCCTCTGAACATGCAGGTAAGTGTTTTATTGCTCTGTTGTGTGGTTTTCTTTTATTAATCCAAAAATTAGAGAGAAGATAGATTCCTCCAACTGCAGATCAGCTGTTTAACATCTGGGACTGTACACAAACCAGCCCCTTCTGGGAGATGTTACAGAACAGGAATGTGTAATAACAAAACTTAGAAGTACTCAGTGTCTTGGATAGCCTGTGCTGTCAAATAGTCATTGCTTTACCTGGAAGGCACAGAAAGAGGGGGGAGGCAGGAGGTAAATTTCCTCTCCTGTTACACATACACATGCATAACTTCCTGCTGCTGAATTATAAATAACTTACTGGTTTGAGATCTGCTAATGTGCCGTCTTTGACTTTAGACCACAGCTTTGCGATATAGTTAGCATCTGTGGAGTTATTTTAGCTGAGTACCACAGCAACACTGAGACTATTAGTCTCACGGTAAAGTACTTCTAAAAAGACCTCTTGTACCAATATTTTGACCAGTTCCTTGTGGTATTTTTTTCTGTGCAGTTAACAAACAGCTTGCTGATAAAGAACGTGTAGCAGCTGCTTTGGAAAACTCTCACTTACTGGAAGTGGTAAATCAGTGTTTGTCTGCTAGATCATAATTGCCTGATCAGGAAACCATTAGTATTCTGCTGTATTAATTTTGTATATAAGTGGTGTTGCTAATGCTACATGTATCTATGAGCAAAATAAAACTACCTTAAAGAAGTGTTCCATTATTTCTTCAAAAAAATAAAAAGCATGGAGAAAATTAGCTTGCTGGTAGCTATAAAGCTGTGATGTAAATTGGCTTTTTCCGTTTGTTCATTATTGCACTGCTGTGATTTTTGTTCTGAACTTTTAAAAAAGATTTGGTTGAACTTGTTTTTAACAGGTTTCTTACTGTCTAAAGACTAGTTATAGACTGCATTTTAGAAGTGGAGTTTGTGCACTGGGTTTCACAAGTATACCAAGTTAAGTAGCAGTTAAAATCTTTATACTCATATGATTATTTTGGACTAACACAGTTTTTCCTTCAAACATCAAGATTTCTACAAATTCCTGTGTGCCAAATTGTAAAACATTTGTGGCAATAACTGTAAGCAATTTTAAATCATCTAATTTATCATTATTATTATGTTAATCTAAACAGCCAGTATGGAGGGCTCTTTAGATATGTATAAAATGTGACTTGCTTTTCCTTACTCATCACTTGTATCAAATGCAGTATCTTTGAGGAGGTTTTTGTTTCTTTGTTTTCTGTTTTCCTTCCTCTGGCTCATGTTTCCTGTTTTCCTTCTGCTGGCTCATGGCCAACCTGTCATCCACCAGGACACCCAGGTCCCTTTCCGCAGAGCTCCCCTCCAGCAGCTCATCCCCCAACCTGTACTGGTGCATGGAATTATTCCTCCCCAGATGCAAGACTCTACACTTGCTTTTGTTAAACCTCATCCATTTTTTTTCTGCCCAGCTCTCCAGCCTATCCAGGTCTTGCTGAATGGCAACACAGCCTTCAGGCATGTCAGCCAATCCTCCCAACTTCGTATCATCAGCAAACTGATACATATAATTATGTATCAGCTATGTAGTACGTTTATCAGTTATTTACAGAGTAATTAGTATAGAGTTCTTGGTTGGGTTTTTTTTTGTTTGTTAGTTAGATGTGTGATAGTGATGCTTTACGTTTCAGTATTTTGTATTGGATAATCTCAGATGCTATTTCAGAAACAGTAAACCTTATGAAGGACATTATGTAGACACCACAGCCTGCTGGAACAGGCTAGTCTGTGTTGCCAGGAAACTAAGGCAGTGGTAGACCAAGTGAAATGGTGAAGTTCACATATACAAGAAAACAGAACAGCAGCAAATCCAAATCTACTCATTTTAGAAATTACTCACCCAGTATGCACAGAGCTTCTGTAGAAGGCCAACTCTTCAGCAGCGTTTATTTGCTTATTTGATTAGCATCCTTCGAATAATGAGCGTTTGGTTTGATGTTTGAATGAAACTGGAAATAAAAATAATATTTGTGTAAAATTAATGCTAATAAAGGAGTAGATTGACACACCTGCTAATATGCTCTTTGTCTCTCAGGCCTAATCACTGAACTGATCAGTCCTGACACTGCCAGCCTTTGCACCACTTCAGCTCTGGCAGTATGTGAAAGCAACTCATAAGCAATATGCTTGATATTGATTTTTTTTTTTTTTAATTTTTAATAGTAAAATGAAACTTGTCCTTCCAGATTTTGTGGAAGACAGGAATGCAAATATGGGGGGTAATAGAAAGATGAGTAGGCTGCAAACAGATGTTTGATGTGCTTTAACCTATGTATGAAACAGAGAAGGAATTAGTAAATTATACTTTATTTAATCTGCTTCTTAGCATTCACCACTACATAGTAACAAATAATTTATTGGATGTTAGCACTTGTCTTACAAGCCATGTTACGCAGTAATCCTATGGGTGCACTTTGCACTGCTTACTTTTTCAGAGAAGCAACAGTATGTGGTTAGGTTGTTCATTGTACATATTTCAGAGGTGACTTTTCAGTAAAGGGACTTTATTACAGTGTCAAACCAAGGTCTGACTCCTGCTACTTAAGAATGGTTAATTTCATACCTTTGGATCTGGTATGTTTCTTTAAATGATGTGGATGTTACATTAATTAGGTGAGAGAAACAACAGAAGGGACAAACCGTTGTTACTGGGCTGAAGATCGCAGCTCCTTCTGTATGGGCTCCCTCAGCTTGAGTACTTTCTGAATGCTGATGTTCTGCCTCTTTCAGCAAAAATCTTCCAGCTTTAATGATCCCTATCTAGGGCCTGATGTACAAAGAGTAAGTGGGAGAAGAAAACATTAATTTGTTACAAGTGTTTCTTCACAGACTGCTCTTTCCCCATTTCCTCCCCCCTCAAAAAAGCCCCCTAACTTTAGTCTCTCCAGTGCTTTGTAATAGGACACATTTCATCAAAATATGGCTCTTTAGAGCAGCTGCATGGAATACAGTCGCATTCAAGTCCAGGAAAAATGCCAGAAGCAGACATCTGTTTCACACTCCTAGGCTCTGAGAAGAGTCCTCCAGGAGGACTGAATGGCGTTAATTCCTCTTAATCTACAAACACTGTGACAAAACCTCTCTAGGGTCGCTGGCTGTGTTGCATGCTGGAGTAACCTGCCTTGTGTTTGAGCCAGCAGACCAACACAGTTTGTGTGACTCAGGCTCTGCTGCTCTGCACATACTCGGGCCTGCACGCACACATCTACTTCCTGGGAGGAAACAGACTTCTTTCTAGCTACTCTCGTGCTGTCATTGCTGCCCAGTATCTGCAACTTCTGAAGACTCAAACTCCCAAATTCACTATCAGTGGCTACAAAGCAGCTCAGCAGTTTCGTATCCAGAAATGTTACTGATCTCTTCCTGGAAGAAGTGACAAGAAGAGCTTGGCATTTCAGTGGACAATATTTCTTGTGTTTCCTTGCATGGAGTGATGTGTGCTACACGTTGGCAACAGTTAATTAAAAAAGAAGTTATTTTAGTTTTCCAACTGTACTTAAGATTGATGTGTTTGTAACAACTAAGTGCTTTGATAAGAATCTCCCTTGGGAGCATTGATTTATAACATGCTTTACAGTAGTTTTTTTTATAGTTGTTAAAAACATTCCCCTCTAGCCTGTCAAGCAGATAAGTGTACCACTCTTCCCCCCTCATGAAATGCACTGTTTGGCATAAATACAGACTGAGCAAGCACGCAAGTTTTTTCCTTAAAACAAAACTAATATAGCAAAATCTTTCAAATGTTTCTATGGAAAATACCAAAAAAGAGGAGGAAAAAGAAAGGAAATTGAAGCTATGACTAGAGTGTTTAAATCTGCTGGTATATTTCACAACCATTTACCAGCAATGTTTAATAGAAAACATACGACTTTTTTTTTCATTCAGGAAAATGCTGAAAATAACATTTTCACAAAACACAAGAAGCAAAGAGCCCTCGTTTTGTTCAGTGTTTCAGTAGTTGCAGAATATATGCTACTGAGTTCTATAAACTTTCTACATATTTCTTAACATCTGTTCATGCATTTCTTTTATGTTTTACCTGTAAGGAGCTTTTGCATCCTGTGGCAGGTTACCTCCATTGCTTAACTTTGTGGCGAGAGGAACAGCACTGTCTGCAGTCACAAGGACATCCTGGTTGGTTGAACCGTTGGAGACCCTGCTATCCCACCTTGATGTACAAATGCATCAGAGCAGCAGCATAATTTGCAAGTAGCTTCTTCGATTTCAGTGCTTTTCACGAGTTGTTGCAGCACACACAAGTTTCAGTTGACAAGGCTGTGCTCTTGGATTCAAGTCTCTGAATCCTGCCATTAGTTCAGCTCTCACTCAGGGCTAGAAGGAGAGAGCAGGACAAAAGTTAATTTCCATCAAGTCAGTGGAATAAATGTAACATGGCAGTGGAGAGCAGCTGCTATCTTAGAGTTTTGGGAAGGCATAAGAGAAAGAGAAGAAAATAGCAGGGCCATACTACACCTCACTGTGCTGCCCTGGATTTGTTTTCCCTCCGCCCTGTCTTTCTGGGTCATTACACAACCCATCCCATAGTTCCCTCACAGTGCAGCAGGAAACAGGAAAGCCTTTGTTGTCTCACTGTCATTAAGTCCAAGTCCATTCCCCACAAAAAGCAACAAGAGAGAAGAGACAACAACAATTACCTATGTAGAATTAATGCTTTAATTTGACCAACGGAGATGTACTCATGATTTTGGAAAGGAGTGCAACAGCCAGTGAGTGTGGACAGCAGTCGTGCCTACACAGCCTAGCAGGAAAACCTCAGAGACCAGCAAGTCTTCCAGGACTGCCAAGCTCTCTTGTCTGTATGTGGTTCTCTCCATTTTGATTTTTCTTGGGATGATGTTTTATTGTAGCTTTTTTTTTTTCTTTAATCTACCCAATTAATCTCATCTGAGTTCCCATCAGATGCCTCTCACTTGGTTTTGACTAAAATAACCTCAGTACAATGTCAGCAGTTTGCTTAACACCAGGATGCCCAACAGCTTCAGTTCTCTATATTTTGCTCATGGAAGAGCTGGCACATGATCTGTCTTAGGATTGTGAAGGTGCCTAAGCAGCAGTGTTTGTTTTCATCACTTCTGCAAAGTAACAAATAAATCAACCCTGTAGTTTGCAATGCTTGCATGAAAAAATTGGTTAATGCCAACATACTCTTTTTTTTCCTCCTGTTTTATAAGCATATAAGCGATGAAGCCTTGTCATATTTGTATAGTTGTTATTGTTAGTAACAAGAATATTGGGCCATTCCTAGCAAAAATTTGAGTTGTTTAATTTTACAAATGAAAAGTAAACATTGTATTAGCTTTAATCTGTACACATCAGCTATGTATCATACAAGTTCAATGCTCGCAATATGTTCTATTGAACCTTAAAACTGCAGGGACTTCGTTGTGAATATTGTGGTCTTCATCCTCTTCAAAGCTGCTTGGGCCTTTTACTGACTGCAAACATATTGGGGTGTTTTTTTTGTTGTTGTTGTTGGTTTTTTTTTTTTGCATGCCTAATGGAACAATTCCTGTTTCAGCACAAAGAAAGATAAGATGAAAAAGACAACACAGTATGAATTGTGGCTCGGTCAAGCTAGAGAGAATGGAAACAATCCCACAGAACAGACTCTGGAATATACAAATAAAGTAACATGCCAAAGAGAGGAAGTACACGTGTGAAAGCTGCCAAGACTGATGTAATGCCTGATCAGCTGCATTCAGGTCTGTACCACAGAAGCAGCAATGCACAGATCCTGTGCTGCCACAAACAGGGACAACTGGAGAGGCACTGCCCTGCTGCATGGAAGATGTTTTCCTGGCTGGGTCTCCTGGCACTGCTATGTGAGATGTGTCCCAGCCACGGACTGCATCGCTGCACTCAAGCTGTGAAACAAGGTCTGGCAGCTCTGCAAGCCAAATAAAGTTAAGGTACAGACAAATTCTCAGCGTGATGCAGAAAAGGATACACAGAGAAATGGGATAGCTGAAAGTAATACCAGCTTACAGCTTCAGATGTGATCACGGGTTGTAACGATGCGCGGTGTGCATTACCCCAGCAGATGGTGCTATGATTTCACGGGGGTCAGCGGCTGTCTTGCGATCCTACCAGCACAAGCGCTACTGAGTATCGGGCAAACGTCTTTATCCAGAGTTCCCACTTTGTCCTCACCCAGCAGAAGGTGACTGCGCCTGTCAGATGGGGAGGTGCTTGTCCTACCTGTCTGCTTGGGGTACGAAGGCAAATAGTGCCTGTGCTGCCCCTGTTAGTCCTGATCAATTTTTTTTTGTTTTCCCTTACCTGAACCCCTTCAGACTCGTAAAACCAGCGTGCACCACTCACAACCATTCTGTCACTACATAGACAGGACACATAACCAGGTGCCTCCTCCACTAGCAAAATCTCCTTTTCAGTGCTGACAATTCCTACTGAAGTGACACACAATTTATTTCAGCTGACTTAGTAATTATCGAAGCATTCAATTCTAATTAGGATTGTGGTTAATGAAATCTGCCATAAAATCATTTCAGTTTTTTAGCCTTCATAAATGAAATTACAAATATTTAACAAATATAGAGAAATAAATAGACACGGCATACAATGCATCGTTATTTTCTTTGCCAGTTCATCAACAGAAGCCTATACATCGATATGACTTGATGATGACAGGATGATAGACTCATTTTTCCAATGAGCAGTTTTCTTCTTATAAGGGAAAGAGCACTGCATCCGCATGAGATCATCTAGGAAAGCCCTCCTTCCTGAAAAAATACTATATTCTTTTTGGTTGCCTAGCTACATGCTGCTGTTACCTTAGAAGGCTGTAGTTCATCTAAATTATTCTGGTGGTGCTGATGTGCTTGAGCAGAGGAGTAATGCAAATATATAGCCCTTTCTTTGGTAAAGATTATGAAAGAAGGATTATGCAGAGGGTAGAGTGAATGTGAAGAGCCTTTGAAGAAATGCTGTTTACTATACTCATCATGGTGGGTTTTTGTTTTGTTTTGTTTTTGTTTTTAAATTAATTGTTGAATAAAGATCATTTCCACCTCATAGCCCTGGATGAGTGAGCAGGCAGTGAAATCACAGACTTGCTGCTTTTGACGTGAAACCTCTGATGCCAAGGAGCCAATTGCTTGGTTAATGCTAATTACTGCTATGAGTAAGCTTGGAGAAGGGAAAAGGCTGTCAAGGCCTGATTCTGCACTCATTTCCAAAACTGTGAAACAGGAAAAATGCCATGAAAGGCAGAGACTGCTGAATTTCATTAGCAAAGGGGTGATCACCAAGTTCTTCTTTGAATATAGGTAGCTTTGATTATTTAGAAAATTAAGACTGGCCTCTTAAAATGCCTAAGACCCAAAGATTTTTATTGTAATATATCTGTCAAAGACAACTCTAGCAGGGAACTCTGCCCCCAGGCATGAGACATGTAGAGATTGAGGGCATGAGCAATAATTCTCAGGCATTTTCCCAGCATGACCAGCAACACAGCTTGCTGCTGCCTCTCCAAAGATTCCAGTACATGGTATTCACTGGCTGTGCTACCAACGTATTCACCTGAGAGTAGTAAGAAATTGGTTTTCTTCCATTCATCTTATCTGCTTCACTGAAAACAATTTGGGTTTAATTAGATATAGGTTCATATGGGACTAGCCAGGACTGAATGAATTTTAGCACTGGAGTTTTGATTTCACTTGCTCTAGTTAGGGCTGATCATTTTACACCTTTGGAGAGAAAATGACATACAATGAAATTTATTATTATTACTGTTTTTCCCAAGAGAAAGACTAGAAAGAATTTTGACAAGTGAGAATAACAAAGTCCATGCAATTCTAGTTTATCTTTACCATAAGCATGTTGGAGGTCTTCATAGGATTATCCTAAATAGCAGCAGAGGCAAAGCAGAAAATGAGACACTTACAAGAAAGCCTTTTACTGTTGTTATACAGAAGTGCATTCCAGCCATACAAATTCTGGGTTTCTCCTGGAACAGATGATAGAATCTTTCACATGGAAATTCCTACACATTTTACATTAATGATTCCATGAGATCACTCACCACGGGAGAAGACAACCATACATTCTGCACCAGGTTACAAAGAAGCGTAAAGCCTTTCTAATTCAAATTCATAAGTCTTTTCCAGGAGTGAGAGTTTTTTCCTTGGCTTCAAGCTTTTTCCACACTGAAGTGAAAAGGAAACTGAGTTATCCCTACATGGTAAACAAGATCAGGTTTCATTACCTAAAGCAAAAGGGCAGCTGTGTTTTACGACTGGTCACCATCAGTCCCTACCAGAAGCCTCATACAAGATGCAGCTACTCTAAGCATTATAAAATGCACATTCAGACACAAAACTATATTTCTGTGTAAGAAAATATAGATTTAAAAATTCATGTCCTTTTCCTGATCTTATACACAGAAGAGGGCAGCACAGTTAAAGTTTCACTTCACATGGTCACTAACATTATAAATTTCTGCCTTACCTCTTTTCTTTGGTGACAGATCTACATGACTCAGCATGGCAAGTGTGTTGTTTATTTCCAGAAAGGACCACAGGCCTGCTCCTACTTTGGGGTTTTCATTGCAAGGACACTTTTCTTTGTTCACCTGCCACATCCATGGAAGCATCTGTAATACAGTGATTTTATTTGGGATTATTCATTACTTAGATATAATCCAGATTTTAAGCCTCCATATCCCCAAGTCTTCTTGATACCTCTGTAGTGTACTGAACGTAACTAATGCTTCATCCCTGATGCAGTCTGCCATGCTCATGGCACCCTCACTGCAATCTCTTGCTGCAGAAAAGTTTTCCCTTACAAATATGCTTTTCCTTCTACAAGTTTCTGTGACTTTTCTGCAGTACTAAGTGGAAGATGCCTGCCAACAAGCAACTTTTGAAGACCTTGTTCTGTGGGCATATTGAATAAATGGGTTCTGTGGGTTGCCATGGGCAGCTTTAGGCTGTTTTCTACCCAATTTCCTGGCTATTAAATATTAGTTCCTCAACAAAAGAGAACTACAGTAGGTCTGTGAAAATGTTACTTAATGCTTAATTGAAAAAGAGTAAGTAGATGCTAGGAATTTTCAGGTCTAAACAAAATTAGAAAGTATCTCTTCCCAACTCATAAATCCACAGTGACCTGCAATTTGAATAATCTGCATTTCTGGTCCCCTCACTTCTAAAAAGATGTATTGGAAGTAGGAAATATTCAGAGAAGAGTAATTAAGCAAAAGGTTTACATGAGTGACTGAATACATGAGATTTCTCAGCTGAGAGGCAATTTCTGAAGGAAAATATAAAATCATTATGCGTATGCAGGAAAAAATTACACTCTTGCTTTACAATACAGTAACAGGGGGGTGTTGCAGGTTATAAAAATTCTACATGGTTTAAAAGCAATTAGAAATACATATAGGAAAAAAAATGCATCAGCAGCCTCTGAACAGTGGGAATACATGGCAGGCATACGGGTGCAGTTTTAACTGCTTATCATGTCCTTACTGGCAGTTCTTCAGATATCAGCTGCTGACTGCTGGAAACTGGATGTAAGTTAAGTCTGACCCAGTACAACTCCTTTAATTTGTTATTGTAAATAGATTCGTTCCCCTTGCCAAGAGCTACTGCTGGTAAATGATAAATCTTACATTGCAAATTGCTTCCTTACCACTACGTACCTCTCAGTAGGACAACCAGCCATTTACTTTGCACGCTCTTTAAACCATCTTCTGTTGCAATGTGTAAATTCAGAAGCTTTTTCACAGTATCAGACTTCCAGATATTTTGTGAAAGGGGTCTCTGAAATCCACACTGAAGAGCATACATCCCACAGGAATTGTAACAAGATATTTAGCATTCCAGCCACGGATGGACGGCCCATCTCTTCCCCAGTATATTGTAACAGGGTAATTTCTTGGTACTGTGGCGCACTTTGTCAAAAAGTGGCTATGAACTGTATAGGGAAAAATGAAATTAGATACGCCACTTGTGCAACTTTTTTTTTTCAGACGGGTGATTCACCTGGCTCAGCTGTCATGAAGATCATACAGTACTGGAAGCTTTTGAGATTACTCAAAGCAGTGAGAAATTCAGGACAGCGGGGACACAAAGCACATTTCCAATCAGTCCTATCCCAAATTATTTTTTACACTCTTTCATTTAAGAAAGACAGAGGTATTTACTCCAAAAGGAACAGATTTAAAGTTCATCCATTCTATGCTTCTACATTTAAAAATACAAACAATACCATATTTTTTTTTGTAGTGCTGATGGGTGAGCTTTAGAATTTCTGGTCTGGAGCTGGAAGGAAACTAAGTAACTGTAACAGGACAGAAAGCTCAGCAGTGGCAGCAGAGCAGCAAGGTCCTGGGCTGCAGCAAGTGAGGACTTCCTCAGCAGCGGGCACAGAAACAAAGGAAAGAATCTATTTACCTTCAGAAGGCCTCAGACAGGCAGGGATCTCCAGCAAGAAACCCTCATCCCCACTGCCAACCCTTAAATGAGGGCTGGGAAGGGGTGCATCCTGGCTCCATCCCTTCTGGTCACTCAGGTGCACTGCATGCACGGAGCTCCCCTGGGTTGGCCCTGCCTTCCCACCAGGTGCTCAATCACTGCTTCAGGCTGTGACTCAGCATTTCTGCTACAGGAACCAAGTTGGGATTAATTTTACAGATATAATAACTGGGTTTATTTAGGTTTCTCTTTGTGTTTTCCCCCTGCCACTACAAGTGAGCTCTCTACACTATGTTGTTTTCCACTGACCCCAAAGCTTGCATTTCTCACATCTCACTGTTGCAGCCCCAGCACATGGCTACCTCTACCCAGTAAAAGACATCAGCTGTGTTAAATGCAAGAGTAATTATGAGAATAAGCACGGCTCCTTGGCCGAAGGGAAGGCCCTGCCTTGGGAATGTGTAAATGCAGGTTCAGTACAGATGAAGCATTCATTGGGCTTGCAGACAAAGGAATCAATGCTAAGACTGAAAGCTCCACTGTTGATACAACCATTTGTACAGTTCAAACTGCAGTCTACTCTTGCACCACTGCAGATTAACTGCAAGGTAATGCAATATACCATATACTACATGAAAGGCCTAATACTTATGTATGTAAAACACACAAACAGAACCACGTGTGTGTATCTGTTCAGCACACAATATTAGTGTGTGTAAAATCACAGGGATGTGCAGAGAAAAAAAAATTAGGCCATGTGTGCACTATTGTACAAAGAGTAGGATAAAGAAAAAGTATTTTCTTCATTTCCCTGTAGCTGTTTTTATCTTGCTTATGTTAAAAAAGTAATGCAAACCACATTTCCTACCACTGCTTCTGTCTCTTCTCCCACTGGCCTAAGTTTCTCAGTTCTGTAATTAAAATAATAATAACAGCTGCTATTTCTTTTTTAGTCTAGGTATTTGGGAGGTAGCCAGACTCAGGCTTCTGCAGGAGTAATGCTTCCTGTAACTTGGCAAGAACAGACCTTTGTGGATATCTCTGCAGTTTGTGTAGAAATAACTTCACCCACATAATGGCTGATTAATTAGACTTGAGGCAGTGCAGATGACTTGAAAAGTAAGAAGAGAAACACACAGCTTCCAGCATAGAGCCAAACTGAGAACAATACTTTCCCAAGCCTCACTCTGCTTATCCAGTCTTTGGGCTTTTCAGAATACTTCTATTATTTATAACAAGTGGGAAACTATTCCAATGTAAGACAACAACTAAAACAAAAGCTAGAATTCAGTGGAAATAATCATTTGATGTAAAAATTATAAATGCAGTTTATAACATGGCATTTAACCTTGAATAAACACTGATGAGGTAGAATCACAGTTTATTCTTCCTCCAAAATTCTGCTTTTCCACCTGAAAATCTGAAGGGAAAGTGCATAGATACCAATTTATGTGTTCTTATGTGTTCTGACTGCACCCCCTGCAAAGTCGTGCTTGTCATTTAAACAAAATGCACTCCACATCTAGCATAGCAAAAAGAAACACCAAGCACAAGCTTTATTATCACAGTAACAAATAACTAGAACTACAGGATCATACTGCATGTTTTACATCTTCCATATGATGAAAAGTACCGAGGCCAAGAGAGTGCACTAAAAACGCACACTAATGCTTCTCAAAAGCTACAGAATTAATGGGAAAAAGAAGGAAAGGAAGAAGAAGAAAGAATGAGGAGAAAGGAAAGAGGAGAGGCGTGGGAGAGGGATACAAAGAGACTGGACAGTTAACAACCATAAACAAAGAAAAGGCACCTTAAATAAAGGGCAATTGAAATAATAAAAATGAAAATTGTACAAGGATGAAGGGAAACTAAACAAAGCAAAATGTTATCCGTTTTTAGAGAGCTTACATACAAAGTGAATATTTTGGATTGATTCAAAAATCAGAGACTCCAGTGGTTCCTCCAGGATCCCACAACACTCTGGTAGTTAGAATGGAATTAAACTGGGTGCCTGGCACCAAGGACAACCCAGTGCTTCTGGCCTCAGCAGAATTTGCTTGTTGCTTTCATTGAAACTTATTCCCTCCTCACACACTGAGGACCTGGATAGACAGTGGTCCTTGACTGCAGCTCTGCTGCTCGCTATGATGTGGCTGCTGCAGGGAATAAACACTGAACGGCTCAAGAGCCACCTGGGACTCATGAACCACAGATGGTAGCACTGCTACAGTGATAACCTCAATTCGGAGTACTTCCAATCTACCATGCAGGCTGGAGCAGACCTTTACCTTCAGCACTGATAGACTCCAGGCCTGGCTCTATGTAAAATTTCCTGTTTCCGTTTCAATATATAATGAACACTAGGCTTACTAAAAATATGAAGTACAGTATGTGACAGAAGCACTCTTTAATTAAAGCAAACCTTAGACCAGTAGCAGCTAGTTCAGTGGAAAATAAAAATAGAAAAACAAGACATTAGGGTTTCTTTTACATAAAAATAAATTAGTTACTATTTGTTAGAAGTAGAATCTTGTGTTAGTGGAAATGGAGGGCAGGTGATAAAGGAGAGGGTCTGAAAGTCCATCAAAGAAATTTAAATCAGCTTCTTGGGTCTGTGTGGTCTCAGATGCATCCCACCAAAATCATTACGTGCTGCAGTACCATGTGCAGGAATATATATACATAGCAATAGCGAATAACAAACAGAATTACATGCTGTGTGAAGGAGCATGTTACATGTCTCAAGTGATGAACCTGAATTATCTGTCAATTCCTTCCAACTTCACAAAATAGCTGGATCTATTAGGATCAAGGGAGATAAAGCAGCTACGTGACCCCTGTGATCCCTCCCTCTCTGGTTCTACACAGTAAGAACAGCCCTAACCGCCTTGGCACCGCACTCCTCCAGATGACTTGCAGTCATCCCTCTAGGAATAAGTGAAGCCTCAGGGACCTAATCCAAGGCCATCTCACTTTCTGCTGAAGGATGATTCACAGAACCCAGTGCCAGATCCCAGTAGTATCCTGTAACTGTGATGGTATTCTGTAACCATTAATTCATTCCTTGTACCTGGCTGCTGGCACAAAACAAAACATTTGCCACGTGGTCCTGAACTTTTGTAAGGTATTTTCTATTTTCAGACTCTCTTCCTGCTGAAATGCTGTTCTTTTAAAGTCTTTATTTAGCATTTTCATATGCCTTTCTTGTTCTTTTTGTTGTTTTGTTAGTTTTATTTTTAGTTTTGGTTGTGAGGGCTCTATCTTGCATTTACATCATTAAAACATTCACGATATTCATCAGAAGAGTTGGAATAAAAAATGGCTCTTGTTTCTTAGCTAGGTTTCGATCAGTAATGCTACACATGCCACAGAAGCAGCACAGTATCTTTAGTTCTGATGCCCCCCAGATTTTCCTTCTTACACACAGAAAAGAAATAAAATATCCCCACTTTATATTCCAGCTTTTAAAATTTGGCCCTGACACACAGTGAAGCCAGCAGGACGGACTGGTCCAAAAAATTCATTAAACCACTCAGTATTTCCAGGTGAGAATTTTTGGCAGAAATATTCAGTTTTTCAAAAGTTAACTGAAGAAAAAACATTTCTGGAAGTATATTTACCCACTTGGCTGCGTAAAAACACAGATTAATTGATGCGGTTTGCTAGATTTCGGATTATCCAAATTAAGTAACCAACATGCATTTCAAATGCTATTGCTAATTTGTTTAAATATGATTTAAAATGTAAACCACGGCAATGTGTTCTGTTCATTTCACTGAAGCACTCACCGCTTCTAACAACCAGACCGACGATTGGAACTGACGCGGCTATTTCGGTGCTGTTCTGAGGGACAGGCTGAGAGCGCTGCAAGCATTCCGTGATCTTTAACTGCCACATTAACACTTTAAACTGCAGTTATCAGGGCAAAGCGGTCAAAGCCATCCCAACAGCATGGACTGGAGTTATAATTAGCTCCTGAAAATAAGAAAACATGCACTTGCTTTCATAGGAAAAAAAACATCTATTTCCTGGAGCCAGACCCTTTAGAACAGTTATGTGTTTCTCTTGTCGCAGTTGAGTAGCCTCACAAAGTGGACATTATAAGGAAAAGATGTTTCTCAGTTGCTGTGTAGTATTTTATTGTCCATGCAACTGCTCAGCTCAGCCCAGAGACCTTCTTTCCTTTACCTGATTTCTACGTCCATTTATTACTTTCCATCAGCTCCCTATCTCCTTGCCTTCTTTAACCTTATTTCAGCAGCTGATTTATTACCTTAAGCATTCACTAATCTGATGGCAACGGTCCCTACACCAAGTCACAGGGATTTTCCCGCACTGACCAGGCTGTAATCTTCTGGGAGCTGGAGCCAGGGCTATTTTGGCTGTAAGATGTCCACCGCGTCGCGGTTGCTAAGAAAACAATAAACTGTGTGCACGGTGCTGCGGTGAGCCATTCAGCACGCCAGCGTAGCTATCTGCTCGGCCCTTTCCTCACTTGATCACACGGTAATGACTGTGCTACTTAAGATAAAACCTTCACAGCCTCACTTTTGCTGCTCAGGTGAAATCGAGGGAAGAATTTGACCTTTATGTTTTAAATCAGCTTCTGAAACCGTTAACGCGGCACGCAGCAAGCGTTTGTATCGTGCCGTCACAGCATCTAGCACGGGGGCTTCTCCCCGCACCCTCTCCTGAACATTAAGTAATCCAAGCACGAAGCTATGACAATTTTGCACGCTTGCAAACGTTCTTCCCAACAATACTGTAGACAATACGGCTTCTGAGCCACGGCATAGGGCACCACGAGCCGAGGAGACCCGCGTACATCGCCAGCCCCGTGTTCAGTTTTCCCTCGGCGCAGCCTCGGGAAAGCAAAGCCCAGGCGGGGTCGGGCACGGCCGGGGTTCCCTCCGACGCGGGGTTCCCCTCCCTTCCCGTCGCGGAGGGCACCGGCGGCTCCTCCTGGGGAGAAGGGGGCGCGAGGGGGGGCCTGCCCCTGCCGGGGCTCCCCGCGCCGGGCTCCCCGCCCCCGCCGCGCCGTGCCGCTTCGCCGCGCGCTGAGGCTCCGTGGGCGGACGCGGCAGCCCACGGGCGCCGGCAGGCAGCCGCGCGGCGCGCGTCACGGCGGGGAGGGCCGGGCGGCACAGCCATAAATAGAGGCGAGGCGGCGACGGCAGCGGCATTCGCGGGGAATCCCTCCCGGCTTCCCTCCGAGCGGCGAGGTAAGGCGAGCGGGATCCGGCGGCGCTCCCCGGCGGCGCGGAACCGGAGCGCGGGGCTCTGACGGCTCTTCTTTCCTCCACGTTCGCAGCCCGGTGTCCCCATGACTCTGAACCGCGGAGACAAGCTGCGCTACCTGGACAAGCGGCGCGGCAGCATGCCTTTCTCCGCACACCAGCACCTGCACCGGCGCAGCATGCCGGTGGACGAGCGGGACCTGCGGGCCGCCCTGCCGCAGGACGAGCTGTCGGGCCTGGTGCGCTGCACCTCGTACAGCCCCGGCGAGGCGCACCGGGAGAGCTGGGCCTCCGACTCCTCCGACTCCGTCATCTCCTCGGGCAGCGACTCGGACGGCAGCCTCTACAAGGTGATCCTGCTGGGCGAACACGGCGTCGGCAAGACCAGCCTGGCCCGCATCTTCGGCGGCGTAGAGGACGGCGCGGAGGCGGAGGAAGCCGGTGAGGGCGCGGGCGGTGCGAGGCTCCCAGTCCGGAGCGGCACGGGCGCGGTGGGCGGCCGGGCGCGGGGTGACGGCGCTTTAACGAGCACTGTCTTTCCTCCAGGAAACACGTACGACAGATCGATTATGGTCGATGGAGAAGAAGCGTCTCTCGTGGTGTTCGATATCTGGGAACAGGTACTTGCAGCTCGAAGATACTTTTTCTTTATGGAGCAGTCGGCGGTTTACCCCAAAAACATGTAGCGATGGAACGGCTCTGTCTGGCTACTTATTGTCGGATGCATAGCATTGAAAGGAAATCATGCTGCCTTTATTCTGCTTTGCAATTATTTCTCGTAGCTAGATAAGCAGTTCAGAAGCTAGGCTAGGCTTGGGCTGCGAATCCCTCAGTGCTTTGAATAAAGCTTACATTGGCAGCCCTGGGGAATTCCTGTAAAATTAGAGACTGATGATCCGATTGGTGCAGACCTGGTATTATTTCTAGAAACAGTAAGATTTTAAGAAAACTTCTTGTAGGCTGGTTTACTTTTGCTGTTTGTAAATAGATAAAGCTAACAAAAGTATCTTTCAGGTGTTCACAATACTTAAATCGTTAACTAGACAGTGTCAAATATCTTTTTCAATGCAGTAAATCTATTTGCCTCCTTTTGTTTTAGGATGACAGCCAATGGCTCCAGAACCACTGCATGAAGATGGGAGATGCCTACATCATTGTCTATTCAGTGACAGACAAAGTTAGTTTTGAAAAAGCCTCCGAACTAAGGATCCAACTAAGAAGAGCAAGACAAACAGAAGACATTCCTATTATTCTTGTGGGCAATAAGAGTGACCTGGTCAGGTCTCGGGAAGTCTCAGTCGATGGTAAGAAACTATTCATTTATATAAGAATGTCTAAATTATTACTAGCAAAGGCAACAGAGGATCGTAATCAACAGAGCTGGTCCGGGTTTGATGTAGAAAAATGTATGACTGGAGGCACACCAGAGAAATCAAGCCAGCTGGTTCACACTGGGGACCATGGAAAACAGTGAGGGAAGACTCATACATAGAGCTGGGCTCTGAACTGCAGTACAGGAAGCACACAGCTTCAGAGCTACAAGGCTGAAGCTGTGGAGTTTTACTGCACAGTTGCTAGTCTCAAGATTTGATAGCCTACATAAGGGACAGGAGTGCCATGTCATAGAAGCCAGGCAGTCTTTGATGGTGATCCCACAGTAACAGTACAGCCCTATCCTCTAGAAGTGATTCCATCACGTTTGAGGTGAGGTGGAGACACTAGGCTCATACAGGCTTTTTGTATGTCATCTACAGCTGTGGTCAGTGAGAATTTTCTGTTCCATTGTGCATTTCAGCAACTGAGTACAGTAACAACTGCCAAGTATTGATTTCATGTATTTAAAATTTATTTTTCCTTCCCCTGGGAAGAATAGTGGTCTTGGTGCTGAAGAACCATTTCTTGCTGTCTGGTTCTGGCATACTTCTTGTGTTAAATGCCTGCTCAGGGAATTGACTGGAGTTCATCAGGAGATTCTCATTCTTTGCAGGCTGGTGGCAGTGCATAGTTCACCTGTCCTAGAAGTGACATTGTTTTACTCAGGCTGGCAGCTTTGTCATTACTGGCCACGAGGTGGACATGGAAACTTGCTATGCAGCAGTGTTCCAGGTTCATGGTTACCCCTGGAACACTGGGGACACAGCATTGTCTATTTTGAATGCCGTCCTAATCAAATCCATTAGTTGGCAACATTATGGTCTCTGCTGTAATTTATATACCGACCTGACCTTTTGACCTGCATCAGCTTCATCTGTGCCTGATGTGGAATACTCTCACTTCTTACAGCAAGGCTGAGGTGTTGATTGCTCAATAACTTCCACAAGAAGCAGCAACTAGCTCTTCTTTCTTTACCTCACTGTCTCTCCTATTGAACAGCAAGCATGCATCAAGTCCCTCCCTTAAATCAGCTACAGATCTTAAATGATAGTGGAATGGTCTACCTATAGGGCTATTTTTGCCTTACAGTCAGCATTGCTGGTCGAGTGAGATTTCTGAACACACCACAACAAAAGAGTGAAAAGTAAGGGGACAAAACCAGGACTGCAAATGTAATTTACTGCTGTGTAATAAAGCTCTTTGGTGTTGAAGACACTTTCTTTTTAAGCTAACCCATTTTTTTTCCTGCTAGAACATATGAAGAGAAAATGTCAGTCTCCACTCATCTCCCTTCTTTTCTTTCCATTCAGAGGGACGGGCCTGTGCTGTTGTGTTTGACTGCAAGTTCATTGAGACCTCAGCTGCTCTTCATCATAATGTCAAGGACCTGTTTGAAGGTATTGTTCGGCAAATCAGACTTCGCAAAGACAGTAAAGAAGACAACGCCAGGAGAATGGCCAACACAAAAAGAAGAGAAAGCATAGGCAAAAAGGCAAAGCGATTTCTTGGGAGAATTGTGGCAAAGAATAACAAGAAGATGGCTTTCAAAGCAAAATCTAAGTCTTGCCATGACTTATCTGTGCTTTAGAAGCTTCCAGCAAGGTCAGATGTTGCCATGTTGGAGGTGAACAAGCATTTGGCTGTTGAGAAGTACATGGATGACCCTCATGGTGATAAAACAATGACTTATCAATTGAGACTCTCATTACTGCCTTAAGGTGCACAAGCAAGTCTGGAAGTTACCTTACAATGTTGGCTTCATTGATGAATGGTTTGTTTCAATATATACAACTAAATGAACTAACTTTAATTAAGTGGCTTGACATGCCCACATTTTCACTATGTATATATGTTGCATACATCCTCTTCTCCTGTGGATACCAGAGATGCAAAGATAAGAAAGGATGATAAGTGTCACCACAGACTTGCCTCGTTTGCAGAGCAAAATTTAAACTTGTACGCAGGCTCGTACACTCTTTTTAGTATAAAGTAAGCAATGATAAATCTTTTTAAATTTAAATGTGGGATGGGAGGAAATAGAACCACATTAGAATGGAAGGAAAACATATTTATATATATATATATAGTTAAATATGGAACAGATATCAGTTTATGAAGTTAATTTGCACTTCCATTACCTGTTATTCAATTAATTTGTTACTTGTTTACATGCAGATTTTATAATAAAGTATTATTTCCTGTTATAATAAACTGTGCTTTTTTCATAGTATGGATAAAGAATGACAGAGCAGTATTTTTATAGTGATCCCTTTTTTCACTGTATAAAACATTAATTACAGACTGCAAGTGATCTATGCAGATATGTGTATTGCAGTTCTGGAATGAAATGAATCAGGAATACTCTGTCCTGTTCTTCAGCAGACAGTTCTTTTAAGGAATTCCTGCTCTTATGAATACCCTATTACAGCAGCTGGCATTGGAAAGGCGTATCTTGATGTTATGGCTCATCTTCAACCTGTTACTCTTGTCAGCTTTAGCAGAAGCAGACCTCTAAATAATATCTTTAGTTTGTTAGGTTTTTGTCCATGCTGGTGAATTGAAACCTGTAATGTCCAGTTTCTTACTCTCCAAGTACTCTTTTCAGTACTCTTACTCTTCAAACCTCTCCAGGTTTGAAGGCCTGTATGAAAGCCAATGAGAAAATGTGTGTTTTTGTTGTTGCTTGTTGTTTGCATCTTGTTTCTCATTTCTTTGTTTTCCTGTTTTGGGAGCAATGTAATTTTCTCATCTACTCCCAAGCCTGTAAATACCTTTCAGTGGCTTTGGGAATTTCAAAGAAGCCTGGCGAGACTGTCTGAAAGAGTTCTGAAAGACTCCAGCTGTGGGCTACTGTGGCCTGCAGCACCGCCACAGTTTTCAAGTCCTGTGTTATAATTAATGTGTTACCCTGACTTTTACCAATTTACTATTCATGAATTTAAAC